CCTTGAATTTCATCCCTCCTGTCCCTATATTTTCATTGGTCCATCCCTGAATTCCATCCCTCCTGTCCCTATATTTTCAATGGTCTATCCCTGAATTCCATCCCTCCTGTCCCTATATTTTCAATGGTCTATCCCTGAATTCTATCCCTCCTGTCCCTATATTTCCATTGGTCCATCCCTGAATTCCATCCCTCCTGTCCCTATATTTTCAATGGTCTATCCCTGAATTCTATCCCTCCTGTGCCTATATTTTCATTGGTCCATCCCTGAATTCCATCCCTCCTGTCCCTATATTTTCAATGGTCTATCCCTGAATTCCATCCCTCCTGTCCCTATATTTTCAATGGTCTATCCCTGAATTCCACCCACCCTGTCCCTCTGCTTCCAATGATTGCTTCCAAAATACCATCACCTATCCAAAATATTCATGATCTAATTATTTCATTATCTAATGAATCTCTCCTTAAAATGGTCCATCCATGAATTCCATCCCTCCTGTCCCTATATTTTCAATGGTCCATCCCAGAATCCCATCCCTCCTATCCTATATTTTCATTAGTCCATCCCTGAATTCCATCCCTCCTGTCCCTATATTTTCAATGGTCTATCCCTGAATTCCATCCCTCCTGTCCCTATATTTTCATTGGTCCATCCCTGAATTCCATCCCTCCTATCCCTATATTTTCAATGGTCTATCCCTGAATTCAATCCCTCCTGTCCCTATATTTTCATTGGTCCATCCCTGAATTCCATCCCTCCTGTCCCTATATTTTCAATGGTCTATCCCTGAATTCTATCCCTCCTGTCCCTATATTTTCATTGGTCCATTCCTGAATTCCATCCCTCCTGTCCCTATATTTTCAATGGTCTATCCCTGAATTCCATCCCTCCTGTCCCTATATTTTCAATGGTCTATCCCTGAATTCCATCCACCCTGTCCTTCTGTTTCCATCATCCTATCCAAAATATTCATGATCTAATTATTTCATTATCTGATGAATCTCTCCTTAAATGGTCCATCCCTGAACACCATCATCATATTCCTATAATCTTAATGGTCCATGACCGTCCATCCCTGAATATTTCATTTTTATTCATCAAATTTTTCAGAATTTGAGTTGGCACACAATTACTGGTAATAAGATTCTAATAATTGAATAAATGTAAATAATAAGATTTTGTAAAAAACTTTCAATTGATATTGACAGCAAGTATTCACTGATGACCTTGCTTACAATGTCTCATTGTTAGAATGAATACTCGTGATGCGTTTAAGTGTCTGTTATGCGACACTACGGAAATTAAATAGTACATATTGTGTCAGTGTAACAATGTGTTTGCTATGGATAGCTTACAAAAGCCATATAAATGTGCACATCAATTTAACTCTCTAATTAACTTTAACACTTTAAACGCTACATTTTTATGT